ATCGAGGACAGCCATCGGTCGTCTCTATCGACGACAGCCATCGGTTGCCTCTGTTGAGAGCGGCCATCGGTTGCCTCTGTTGAGAACAGCCATCGGTTGTCTCTATCGAGGACAGCCATCGGTTGTCTCTATCGAGGACAGCCATCGGTTGCCTTTGTTGAGAACAGCCATCGGTTGCCTCTGTTGAGAACAGCCATCGGTCGTCTCTATCGACGACAACCATCGGTTGTCTCTATCGAGGACAGCCATCGGTTGCCTCTGTTGAGAACAGCCATCGGTCGTCTCTATCGACGACAACCATCGGTCGTCTCTATCGAGGACAGCCATCGGTTGCCTCTGTTGAGAACAGCCATCGGTTGTCTCTATCGAGGACAGCCATCGGTCGTCTCTATCGACGACAACCATCGGTTGCCTCTGTTGAGAACAGCCATCGGTTGTCTCTATCGAGGACAGCCATCGGTTGCCTCTGTTGAGAACAGCCATCGGTCGTCTCTATCGACGACAGCCATCGGTTGTCTCTATCGAGGACAGCCATCGGTTGCCTCTGTTGAGAACAGCCATCGGTTGTCTCTATCGAGGACAGCCATCGGTTGCCTCTGTTGAGAACATCCATCGGTTGCCTCTGTTGAGAACAGCCATCGGTCGTCTCTATCGACGACAACCATCGGTTGTCTCTATCGAGGACAGCCATCGGTTGCCTCTGTTGAGAACAGCCATCGGTTGTCTCTATCAAGGAGAGCCGTCGGTTGCCTCTATCGAGGACAGCCATCGGTTGTCTCTATTGAGGACAGCCATCGGTTGCCTCTGTTGAGAACAGCCATCGGTCGTCTCTATCGACGACAACCATCGGTCGTCTCTATCGAGGACAGCCATCGGTTGCCTCTGTTGAGAACAGCCATCGGTTGTCTCTATCGAGGACAGCCATCGGTTGCCTCTGTTGAGAACAGCCATCGGTTGTCTCTATCGAGGACAGCCATCGGTTGCCTCTGTTGAGAACATCCATCGGTTGCCTCTGTTGAGAACAGCCATCGGTCGTCTCTATCGACGACAACCATCGGTTGTCTCTATCGAGGACAACCATCGGTTGCTTCACTTGGAGGACAGCCATCGGTTGCCTCTGTTGAGAACAGCCATCGGTTGCCTCTGTTGAGAACAGCCATCGGTCGTCTCTATCGACGACAACCATCGGTTGTCTCTATCGAGGACAGCCATCGGTTGCCTCTGTTGAGAACAGCCATCGGTTGTCTCTATCAAGGACAGCCATCGGTTGCCTCTGTTGAGAACAGCCATCGGCTGTCTCTATCGAAGACAGCCATCGGTTGCCTCACTTGGAGGACAACCATCGGTTGCTTCACTTGGAGGACAGCCATCGGTTGCCTCTGTTGAGAACAGCCATCGGTTGTCGCTATCGAGGACAGCCATCGGTTGCCTCTGTTGAGAACAGCCATCGGTTGCCTCTGTTGAGAACAGCCATCGGTTGTCTCTATCGAGGACGCCATCGGTCGTCTCTATCGACGACAGCCATCGGTTGCCTCTGTTGAGAGCGGCCATCGGTTGCCTCTGTTGAGAACAGCCATCGGTTGTCTCTATCGAGGACAGCCATCGGTCGTCTCTATCGACGACAGCCATCGGTTGCCTCTGTTGAGAGCGGCCATCGGTTGCCTCTGTTGAGAACAGCCATCGGTTGTCTCTATCGAGGACAGCCATCGGTTGTCTCTATCGAGGACAGCCATCGGTTGCCTTTGTTGAGAACAGCCATCGGTTGCCTCTGTTGAGAACAGCCATCGGTCGTCTCTATCGACGACAACCATCGGTTGTCTCTATCGAGGACAGCCATCGGTTGCTTCACTTGGAGGACAGCCATCGGTTGCCTCTGTTGAGAACAGCCATCGGTTGTCGCTATCGAGGACAGCCATCGGTTGCCTCTGTTGAGAACAGCCATCGGTTGCCTCTGTTGAGAACAGCCATCGGTTGTCTCTATCGAGGACGCCATCGGTCGTCTCTATCGACGACAGCCATCGGTTGCCTCTGTTGAGAGCGGCCATCGGTTGCCTCTGTTGAGAACAGCCATCGGTTGTCTCTATCGAGGACAGCCATCGGTCGTCTCTATCGACGACAGCCATCGGTTGCCTCTGTTGAGAGCGGCCATCGGTTGCCTCTGTTGAGAACAGCCATCGGTTGTCTCTATCGAGGACAGCCATCGGTTGTCTCTATCGAGGACAGCCATCGGTTGCCTTTGTTGAGAACAGCCATCGGTTGCCTCTGTTGAGAACAGCCATCGGTCGTCTCTATCGACGACAACCATCGGTTGTCTCTATCGAGGACAGCCATCGGTTGCCTCTGTTGAGAACAGCCATCGGTCGTCTCTATCGACGACAACCATCGGTCGTCTCTATCGAGGACAGCCATCGGTTGCCTCTGTTGAGAACAGCCATCGGTTGTCTCTATCGAGGACAGCCATCGGTCGTCTCTATCGACGACAACCATCGGTTGCCTCTGTTGAGAACAGCCATCGGTTGTCTCTATCGAGGACAGCCATCGGTTGCCTCTGTTGAGAACAGCCATCGGTCGTCTCTATCGACGACAGCCATCGGTTGTCTCTATCGAGGACAGCCATCGGTTGCCTCTGTTGAGAACAGCCATCGGTTGTCTCTATCGAGGACAGCCATCGGTTGCCTCTGTTGAGAACATCCATCGGTTGCCTCTGTTGAGAACAGCCATCGGTCGTCTCTATCGACGACAACCATCGGTTGTCTCTATCGAGGACAGCCATCGGTTGCCTCTGTTGAGAACAGCCATCGGTTGTCTCTATCAAGGAGAGCCGTCGGTTGCCTCTATCGAGGACAGCCATCGGTTGTCTCTATTGAGGACAGCCATCGGTTGCCTCTGTTGAGAACAGCCATCGGTCGTCTCTATCGACGACAACCATCGGTCGTCTCTATCGAGGACAGCCATCGGTTGCCTCTGTTGAGAACAGCCATCGGTTGTCTCTATCGAGGACAGCCATCGGTTGTCTCTATCGAGGACAGCCATCGGTTGTCTCTATTGAGGACAGCCATCGGTTGCCTCTGTTGAGAAAAGCCATCGGTTGTCTCTATCGAGGACAGCCATCGGTTGTCTCTATCGAGGACAGCCATCGGTTGCCTCTGTTGAGAACAGCCATCGGTTGTCTCTATCGAGGACAGCCATCGGTAGTCTCTATCGAGGACAGCCATCGGTTGCCTCTGTTGAGAACAGCCATCGGTCGTCTCTATCGAGGACAGCCATCGGTTGCCTCTGTTGAGAACAGCCATCGGTTGTCTCTATCGAGGACAGCCATCGGTCGTCTCTATCGACGACAACCATCGGTTGCCTCTGTTGAGAACAGCCATCGGTTGTCTCTATCGAGAACAGCCATCGGTTGTCTCTATCGAGGACAGCCATCGGTTTCCTCTGTTGAGAGCGGCCATCGGTTGCCTCTGTTGAAAACAGCCATCGGTTGCCTCTGTTGAGAACAGCCATCGGTCGTCTCTATCGACGACAACCATCGGTTGTCTCTATCGAGGACAGCCATCGGTTGCCTCTGTTGAGAACAGCCATCGGTTGTCTCTATCGAGGACAGCCATCGGTTGCCTCTGTTGAGAAAAGCCATCGGTTGTCTCTATCGAGGACAGCCATCGGTTGTCTCTATCGAGGACAGCCATCGGTTGCCTCTGTTGAGAGCAGCCATCGGTTGTCTCTATCGAGGACAGCCATCGGTTGCCTCATTTGGAGGACAACCATCGGTTTCCTCTGTCGAGGACAGCCATCAATTGTCTCTGTTGAGAACAGCCATCGGTTGTCTCTATCGAAGACAGCCATCGGTTGTCTCTATCGAAGACAGCCATCGCTTGCCTCTGTTGAGAACAGTCATCGGTTGTCTCTATCGAGGACAGCCATCGGTTGTCTCTGTTGAGAACAGCTATCGGTTGTCTCTATCGAGAACAGCCATCGGTTGCCATTGTTGAGAGCGGCCATCGGTTGCCTCTGTTGAGAACAGCCATTGGTTGCCTCTGTTGAGAACAGCCATCGGTTGTCTCTATCGAAGACAGCCATCGGTTGCCTCACCTGGAGGACAACCATCGGATGCCTCTGTTGAGAACAGCCATCGGTTGCCTCTGTTGAGAACAGCCATCGGTCGTCTCTATCGACGACAACCGTCGGTTGTCTCTATCGAGGACAGCCATCGGTTGCCTCTGTTGAGAACAGCCATCGGTTGTCTCTATCGAGAACAGCCATCGGTTGCCTCACTTGGAGGACAACCATCGGATGCCTCTGTTGAGAACAGCCATCGGTTGCCTCTGTTGAGAACAGCCATCGGTCGTCTCTATCGACGACAACCGTCGGTTGTCTCTATCGAGGACAGCCATCGGTTGCCTCTATCGAGGACAGCCATCGGTTGCCTCTGTTGAGAACAGCCATCGGTTGTCTCTATCGAGAACAGCCATCGGTTGTCTCTATCGACGACAACCACCGGTTACCTCTGATGAGGACACCCATGCCTCTGTCGAGGACAGCCATCGGTTGTCTCTGTCGAGGACAGCCATCTGTTGTCTCTATCGAGGACAGCCATCGGTTGCCTCTGTTGAGAACAGCCATCGGTTGTCTCTGTTGAGAACAGCCATCGGTTGCCTCATTTGGAGGACAACCATCGGTTGTCTCTATCGAGGACAGCCATCGGTTGTCTCTATCGAAGACGGCCATCGGTTGCCTCACTTGGAGGACAACGATCGGTTGCCTCACTTGGAGGACAACCATCGGTTGCCTCTGTTGAGAACAGCCATCGGTTGTCTCTATCGAGGACAACCATCGGTCGTCTCTGTTGAGGACATCTATCGGTTGTTAAAAATCAAAAGCGTACGGATATATCCTCGGTGAAACCGGAATCTTCAACGATAAATAAATCTCTGAAAAAAACTTTATATTTCCTCCTTTATACATGCAAAAAACAATACACACGTATCGAACAAAAAATACAAAAGTTCTACAAAAATTTCAGAAGTGATTTAATCAACGCTAAAAATGTCGTCAAGATCTTCTTTTTGTTTGGCCTCCTGCTTTTCTTTAGTCTCTTCGCTCTTGAAAAATTCCTTTATCATCTTCATGAATTGTTCCACTGACTGTTCGCCGCTAGGACCAGCAGTTGTTGTTTCTGAGACAGGCGTTACTTTGGGAGTGGTTGGCGGTGGTGGAGGCGGCCCGCATCTATAGCTTTGAAGATTGAGGAACAAACAACAACCATGCAAATTCAAAACTGACTTCCTCTTGGGCGCAAATGTCTCTTCATTCGTCAGAATGGGCTTAAACGCCGGCCTCCTGTAAATAATATTTTTATTTAAGAAGAAAAGTTTGACAAACTCACTTTCTTTTGTTGAAGGGTGGCTGTGGAGGTCGAGGTTGTGGGGGCGGCGGGAGAGGTGGTTTAGCTTTGCTCGACTTTATTAGATTCAGCAAACTCTCTTCCTCTACTACGAAAACATCGCCTTGAGCCACAAGTACAGCGAAAAGGTCGGCCATTTTCAGTTGGATTTTGGATGCGTCCGACATTCTGAAAAGACTTTATTAATGTGGCATTGAGCCGAGGACGCCACCAATTTTTGCCGGCTGGGGCACGTGCTCCAGGCGCTGCCGCCAGGAAGAGCAGCCACTGCCGGTCCGGCCACTGACCACAGACCGGCAGTGGCTGCTCTTCCTGAAGGCAGCGTCTGGAGCACTTGCCCCAGCCGGCAAAAATGGGATGGCTCGGGATGGCGTTCTCGACCCTCCGACGCCATCCCGAGCCTCCTCCGTCGAGTGCACCGGTACAAAATGAACCGAAAGCGAGTGCATCCCTCGGAGGTCTCTAAGGCGCGCGACGTATACTTCATGGGCGTTAGGCTTGAGCTCTATCTCTGTTTGTATGGTCAGACAAACAGAGATAGAGCTCAAATTTTGCAGAATTCACCTACGAGGCTGGGATTTAGCACAGGGGGGTAAATGAGCATGCTGATTACGACTACAATATTAGTTTTTAGAATTATTAATTACTTATATCGAATTTTATTGGTTTTCTACAAAGTTTGAGCTATGGGGTTCGGATTTGGCATAGAGGCTAGAGTAGACATGCCGAGGGTGTGGTGCGGAAGGCGACAATCCCCAGTTTTGTGCCTATCAAAAAATCTCCGATGTGAAAGTGACACCCCAGGGGACTACGGGGGTGGGGGGGGGGGGGGTGGGGACAGATACATTACTCAATGCTACAAGTAGAAATCCGTAAAAGTCATTGAGACGGATGATACACAGCCTCCATTTTCTCCCCCCCCCCATGCCGATTAGGAAAACAAAAAATGGCAACTCACATTTTTTGATCTCTATCGCCCCTTATTGGTCGCGTCGAATCGGATGATGTCGTCTCTGAGTGGGCGTAGTGCAATGCATTCATTACAATCTGCAAAATATCACCTGACTTTAGGTCGTACTCCTTTTGGCGGAGATACGCACGCTAAATGCGAGGGTAAGTGAGCATGCTCATTAGGCACGCGCCATACTTGATCCGCTTAATCCACTTGATCCGCTTGATCCGCTTCATCATTGGTTAATTCAGTGAACTGACAATAGTGAAGTGGATGAAGCGGATCAAGTGGACAATCGCTTCGTTATTGATCAGTTCACTGAACAGACCAAAGACGAAGCAGATCAAGCGGATCAAGTATGGCGGTGCCTTACCAACACAACGGGGAACGATGAGCACGAATGAGCATCGACGGGAGCCATGAGCTGTTCAGACAGCTGTTCAGGCATACTTCAGGCGATTTCAGCCGCGACGCTTGGCAATTCGCCAGAAGTCCTCAGATGCAACACTGGCACGCTGCACATGCATAGTGTGTATAACTGACGCAGATTCATAAAATGCCCAGTCTTCTGTACATTTAAAAGTGCCTACAATGAGTTATGGGCACTTGGAATACTGCCAAATCGCGTCGCGACTGAAGTCGCCTGAAGTATGCCTGCCTTAGGCCCCGGGCAGACTTCCCGCAATTTGATTGTCGCGACTGAGTCGCGACGAGACAACTGTTACAACATCATTCCATGCCGATCAAGTTGCATTCGGTTGTGATACTTTTCCAGCCCGACATTTTTGAATGTGAAATGAAAATGAATGGAAATCTTGGCGATTAGATCGCGACGATTAAGTCGCGTGAAGTCTGACCGGGGCCTTAACATACGATGAGCGATCGAAGGCACGAATAAGTCATTCGGATACATTACTCGATGCCATAAGTAGAAATCCGTGAAAGTCATTGAGGCGGATGATACACTGCCCCCATTTTGCGCCGATTGTCGCCTCCCGCGTGCCCCCCCCCATCATCAGTCAGTCGTCATTATGATAATGTCGACAATCCCCAATTTTGTGCCTGTCAGAAACTCTCCGGTGTCAAAGTGACACGGGTGGGGACTACGGGAATGGGGGGGGGGGGTGGGGGCAGATACATTACTCGATGCCATAAGTAGAAATCCGTGAAAGCCGTTGTGACGGATGATACACTGCCCCCATTTTGCGCCAATTGTCGCCTTCGGCGTGCCACCATCATCAATCAGTCGTCATTATGATAATGTCTGCAGCCGCACACATTGTCCTCTTTGGCGTCCACATCCTGGATTTGCAATCGGAAAAAGCAAAGCTTGATCGATTGCTTTCGCTTACATCACTTTGAGGTGGATAGTACTTAAAGAGGAAAGAAAAGTTGAAAACACATCGAAATTGTCTAGCTGAAGCTGCCTCGACCAAGAATCAAGGATGGGAACGCCAAAGGTGAATGTGGAAATTTTAATTCCTGTGCGATCCGGACCAAACTTGGCACACATACACTTCGAGCCCCGGTGGGTATCATAGGCTACTTTTCGTCATCGATCTGTGTCGACTTTATCGATTTTTATCGATTTTTTTTGTAGAGTTCACCTACGGGGCTGGGAGTTGGCGTAGGGGGGTAATCGAGCATGCTGATTACGAATACAATATTAGTTTTTGAAACCGTCCATTGCTTTTATCGATTTTATCGATTTTCTGTAAAGTTTGACCTGCGGGGCTGGGAGTTTGCAAAGGGGGGTAATCGAGCATGCTGATTACGAATACAAAATTAGTTTTAAGAATTATCAGTTACTTCTATCGACTTTGTCGCTTTTGCAAAGTTTGAGCTACGGGTTTGGGGGGTTGGTGAGGAAGGTGGGTGAGCATACTGATTGCTAACACAGCGAGGAAGAATTGCATGTAGAAGTGGGCACAGGGAAAGGTCGTACAGGGAAGGGAATGGAACTTTATCAAAGTTTTTTGACGGGGCCGGGCGGAGCCGGGTAAGCCAGCTAGTAATACATATAATCCAGAGAAAATGTAGGTTCTCGCTCCATGGGAGCCCATCGACAAACCTTCTCGGAGTTGTCTCCTTTTTTTAGATTGAACCACTCGATTTTTCCTCTTCCTCCCCCCTTCACTTTCTCCTCTTTCTATTACCAAAACGCGTGTAACAGGTTCCCGGCGGCCATCTGAAGCGTGCATAGAGTTAATGTTGAGTATAAGATGAAGCTAAAAATCGCGATTCTTTATTTTCCCTTTTTTTATTTTCCCCTACTCTCTTAATTCCGAGAGGTAGCAAATGAGCGGAGCTTGTTGCGAGAAGTTGTGGCTGTATAACAGCATAACAGCTCCTGGAAGTGAGCTTTTTCTCTCATTATCGCTTTTTTCGCTTTCGCTTAATTTTTCGCTCACTTTGTAACGGTTGGAGTGCAAGTGGGCGGATTCGAGAAGTGAAAGCCGGAGCTTTATTTGAAGGCGTTGTGAGTGAAATAGGCGTTACTTTAGTCGGTGGATTAGCAGTTTTGCAGCGGTGGATGGGGCGATGGTGGTGCTAAACGGGGCTTTAGAGGGTAAGTGGAGCCTTGAGGTTCAGAATTGGAAGTGTGAATCTCAAAAAAATTGGCAAAGTCGAAATTTCTAAAGTTGCGAACTCTCCAATTTTTCCGTTCGAATTTATCGGTTTTACAAACGGCAACCCCCATAATATCAGTTTTATCGATTCTGGAGGTTTCGCAACCTCTAAAATATCGACTTTATCAATTTTTAGCTTTGAATTGTGAGCTCCGCTCACTTCACTTTGCACCGTTTTAGCTGCCAAGAAACTCGCAAAGCTGTTATCAAATGACGTTTGTCTGAGGTCTTCTATCTACATTAAGTATCGGGATGCGCCCTAACAAAAACCCATTTGCAGAACATAATTGAAAACCTCAGATCAAAACTGAATGACTCTTCACCCATATATTGGGTAATAACAATTGAAGTGAAGAGGAAAAATCGAGTGGTTCAATCTAAAAAAAGGAGACAACTCCGAGAAGGTTTGTCGATGGGCTCCCATGGAGCGAGAACCTACATTTTCTCTGGATTATATGTATTAAGCCCAATTAAAACATGGCTATCTCAGTCGTCATCCCTACTACCACGGCACCTCCCTCGCATCTATATACATCGTATTTTTGTAGCTTCCCATATGCAGTATGAAGTAAGCATCGCTGAAACTTGCAACTAACTTCAGCACAAGACCCGGTTACTTCAGCGGACGCAAAATAAATATTCCTTATATGAAGATTAGTTCTGATCGGCAACAAACTTCATAGAGCTGCAAGTTTTCACTTCGATTTTGCGCTGTTAGTTCTGATCGGCAACAAACTTCATAGAGCTGCAAGTTTTCACTTCGATTTTGCGCTGTTAGTTCTGATCGGCAACAAACTTCATAGAGCTGCAAGTTTTCACTTCGATTTTGCGCTGTTTTGAGAAGACCACGTTAGCTGAAAAACATCTGCTGCAGTGCCAACGGTGTCTTTTCTTAGAAATTTTATCGCAAGCAAAGGCAATGAGATTGCTCTTTCAGTATCCGATGTATATTTGGCTTCAAATGCAAGAAAGGTTTTATCCAAAGTTACGGCTGTTAAAAGCTGCATATTAATTAAGGATTTGCTCTCCATCTGTTGTGGTCTCTGGATCGTCTGTTGGGGTCTCCGGGTCATCTGTCGGGGTTTCTGGGTCGTCTGTTGGGGTTTCTGGGTCGTCTGTTGGAGTCTCCGGCTCATCTGTTGGGGTTTCTGGGTCATCTGTCGGGGTCTCCGGGTCATCTGTTGGGGTTTCTGGGTCGTCTGTTGGGGTTTCTGGGTCGTCTGTTGGAGTCTCCGGCTCCTCTGTTGTGATTTCCGGCGCCTCTGTTGCTGAAAGGGAGTAGCCAGAACTTGTTGAACACCTTGATATTTTGCATCAGCTCAAACTTACCAGGAGGAGGTTCTTGCAGACAAAGTGGACCAACTTTGCCATTATTGCTTGAGCATACAGCACCTTTGATGAGTTTTTTGCAAGGAGCGTCTTTCGTACAGCCCTTGTCGTTCTTGGAATCTGCCCAGTAAAGTGGCTCTCCTTCTATGGGCCTAAATACAGATTAGATTAACCTGGTAGATTGGTCAAGTTTTCAGACAGTTGCCGAGGTAGGCGGTCACAAAAAATGTGGTCTGATGTGGTTCCGATTTGGTTTTCGAATTGCGCTTATTCAAAAGTAAACTAAATTTTTTGATCCAGTACATTGATCTCTTTGTTCCTGTTTTGCAGATAGATCACTGCTTTGTCAAACTCAAAAATTAGCAAGCGGCCGTGCGAAAGCTCGTGGTCTGAAATTTTTAGCCAGACACCCATAACTGGGCGGTCGAAGCTGCGAAAATTGGAGAACATTTTAAGATGTTAAAGCTCATTGAAAGTTTGTTTGCTGGATGAATGGGTAGGTGCAGCGCTTACTACATGAAGACCAACTTTTCCAAAATTCTACGAGCGCGTGCAAGGAATTAGTCATCTATTTGCTCCAATCATGCCGGCATAGCTCCGACGATCGTGAAGTAATCCCGAGAAGACTTTATGTAGTGAAACGCTGCATCTACTCATTTATCCAGTGAAAACACGGTCATTCAGTGAGTTTCAACAAATCTTAAAAGCTTAAAACCCAATATCCGCAAACGCGGATATTAATTTCCGGTGATGCTCAAGTCACTTGCACATTTTTATAACACCTGTAAGTAACCTTTGTAAAGCTCGCGACTCATTCTCGAGGGGGGGGGGCTCTCGGACCGCCACTGCTCGGAAGTCAGTACATACGGCCGGAGCAAGTGGGGGAAAGAATGCAAGTAGTACCAAGAAATATGTTTTTATCTAGAATCAAGTCGTGCGTATGCGATATTTTCAAGAAATATTCTTCTTTTTCATGAACATTTTTCTCAAAAGCCTCTTACACTGCATTTGAAGTAAACTCTTACTTACCTCTTCTCATATACACATGCAAGAGCTACCTTGCCCTGGTCTTTGCAAAACAAGTAAGCACATCCAATCTTTAGCGTTTTGTTGTAGATCATCTAAATGAGACATAAAAGGCGATGACCTTAGAATATACTCGGAGGATGGAAAAGTTATTAGATCGTCTAAATTCTTTGTGAACAGGAAACATGAGAAGTTTACATTAGCAAACGGCTCCATGGTTGTGTCAGTATACACCACATCTGCGCTCAATGGATTTTCTACCGTAAGACTCCAGTCCTCCACAGCATATTCAAAAAGCTCAGCCAATTGCTCCGGTTTTGGGTTAGTTTTCAGTCGGTATCTAGATTCAAAGCCATTCTTGTACTGCAGTGCTGATCTCTCTCAAAACTTACGTGATAAAGTTCTCGCCCCTTCCAACTTTGTCCATGTATATGCTTGAATGCTTACATTTGTTTCCGATGGTAGCGAGAGCAAGTCCTTCGTTAGTGCAGTCGTATTTCTGCGAGGAGTCCAAATGTTTAGGACTAACTTATGCCAGAAAGCACTTGATCTTACAGATTTTTACTTACTTACCAGCTTGAAAAGACTTTTTGATCCTGGTAAATTTCCATAAATTGCCTTGTCCAACTGACGAGAAGCAACTTTTTCTCTGAGTAAATTGTGTTGTTCTAAGGCTGCCTCGCTAGCCTTAGCAGCAAGTCTGCAGGCTGCTGCAATTGAGAATTTTGAGTTTTGTCTTGAGTTCCTTAAAGGAGAAAGCCCAAGACTAAATCATTCTACTCGGCTACTCTACCTGCAGCCTCCCCTTCTCGAAGCAGTATGAAGAACACCTAAAAGATAATTTTCAATCAGTTTATAGACTTCTTGTAGTATCTAAAGAATACCAGCAGCAAGAACATTGTAAGTGTTCTCCTGTCGTGCTTTTTGCCTGAAATGATTTTTTTCTGATTTTGGGGGAAGAAAAAGAGCGCAAAAATGGCAAAAAACAGCATTTGCCAAGGCCCTTCATTTTAAATTCGGACGAGTGGAACAGTTCCCTCATGGTTGAAGACGCAGAGTCGTTGCGGACCCCTACTGTTATAGCATTGCGGCATGCCTCCTCCAATCAGTGCCCGGCACCGATGGTTTGGGGTCAAACTGGACTTCGTTTTTGGAGTTAGAAGCAACGGGGACATCGTTTTTATGAGGTCCTGGAGGAAGCGCCAAAAACACGACGAACATGTCAGGTTTTACGAGTTGAACGTGTTCTTTCGCAAGCGCGCGAATTTCAAATGCAAGACTCAAACAAACAAATGGCTTGTTTACAGCTCGCAAACAATCACATGGCTCCGAATTTGGGCTATGAGTATACAATATTGCTCCAAATTATGTTATATAAAAAGTTCCCAAAACTTATGTGTCTGAATATCCGTTCCGGGTTTGTTGGTTTCTAGACCAACTACCAAACCAACTGGGTTGGTTCGGAGCATAAATATCGGAGAGTTCACATAAGTTTTGGACCTTTTTGATTTGGACGATTAGAACGGTCAAAAATCTATCATATAGTGAAGTGAGCGGATCAAACCGTTGCCTCTCCCCTTTTTTTGAGTCAAAAGTAGTATAATTCTACGCGTTGATAGATATCGCGCTCCATTCACTTGCGGTGTCCTTTGAAATATGTGGCGAAAAATGCATCGTAGGATTGTTGAGGCTACAGATTTGGTTGGCCTAGGAGATTCTCAACATTCCCAGCATCAAAATGGTACTATACCCAATGCCAGAGCCTTTAATCGACTCGAAATGTTTTCTTTTTGCTTTTTTGTTATATTACATACCTCAAAATGCGCTTTTTTCGCTTTTTTGTTGCTATTTTGGTTGAATAAGGGTTCCTCTACTGACTTTCAAGTCGAGAGGGACTTCGTAAATTTTACGAAGTCATGGGGGACTTCGTCTCCTATAAAACCTCCAAACCAACGCGTGCCGGGCCCTGCCTCCAATACTTGGAGAGAGCGAGCTCCGAGCGCGTGTAAGGGCCGCATGCACTAACATCCCTGCGGCGAGGGGAGCGGCGTCCCCAATGATGAAAAAGCCGCAGCGGCGTCCGCACGCGGTCCCTTCATAACGGGGGACGCCGCTCCCCTCGCCGCAAAAATGTTAGTGCATACGGGCCTAAGTCTTGTGCGCAGGGGTTCGGGGCAGCATGCAGTGCGCTCGGACTTGCTCTACTTTCATATTTGAGGTGCAAGCAATCTACCATATTATTAGGTTGTCAAGGAAATAATGTCGTTTTTATTTGCTTTCACAGCAACCAGACTCAACCCAACAAAGGTTAAGGGATACTATTCGGAGCAAAGAAAGCTCTACAAGATGGTCTTCGGGTTCGGGATGGTCAGATCTTCGTCCAAATAATTTCTACGGAACTCCCACTCGCACACGTCAATACATTCGATATCTGATACCCGTATGTGCATTTGCTTTACTTTTTTCTTGACTAGAAACTGAGAAACGAAGATTTTTGTGTTTTTCAAAAGCAATGCTGAGCCTTTCTTGCATATGTGATTCTATACTACAAGCCTGGGTAAGTATAACTGTAGATTTTCAGCCCATTCCGAGCGGTAAATTTCAAGAATGTCGATTCTAGCACTGAAACTGAAAAGAAGAAAGCTGATTTCGATATTTCTTGAAAACTACTGCTCGGAATGAGCTGAAAATCTACAGTTTTACTTATCTAGGCTTGTAGTACAGAATCCCATATGCAAAACGGCTCAGCATTGGTTATAGAAAAACACGGAAATTTTCGTTTTTTTCAGTATCTAGTCAAGGAAAAAGTACAGAAACTGCACATATGGATATCAGATATCGAAAGTATTGACGTGTGTGAGTGGGAGGTCCGTAGAAATTATTTGAACGAAGATCTGATTTTTTTTCGATTTTTTAAGCATTTGGAAATCTTCAGATTTTGAGTTCGAAGTTTCCGTGGATCGATCATGGCGCAAATCAAGATTACCATCTTGTAGTGCTTGCTTTGCTCTATCGAATAGTATTTCTTAACCTTTGTTGGGTTGAGTCTGGTTGCTTTGTCAATGCAAGCAAAAAAAATGACATTATTTTCTTGACAACCTAATAGAATTCCATGTTCACTTTTGTCGAGCCGCTACCTCTGAGTAAGCTTGCTCTATTGCGCCTTCCGCAGTCAACTTTGATGTTGAAGTAGCTTCTCTTAGGGTCTACGTTGCAATGCTTTTTTGAAACTGGGGTCTTTTTATTGCCCGCATGAGCCTAGACAGAGGTCGATTGTCTCGAAGGAGACTCTATTGGGCTTTAGCATTCTGCAAAATTAAGCACGAAGACACCAGAGCATTCTAGCATACTTCTACAAGCTCAACGCTGTGACCATTCTAATCTCTGAGGTGGTGCGGCAGTGATTTGAGACAGCATTTATGTCCTCAGATGGAAAAAATTAAGTGGTGATATCAAAATTGATAGAAGATGAACAGAAGAAAAAGGGGAAGAAGACGATGCCATGCTTACGAGACTAACGACTTTTATACTGATCAGCCCCATAAAATATCGAAGGTGATATTTAGTTATTTCTAGGTTGAAGCAGCGAGGAAAAGTAAGCACTATCAACTTGATATTTCGATGTTAAGGTTGAACGATTATAGGGCAATAGAAAGAAGCACCAAGCCGTGAATTTGAATGGTAAAAATGGGGACCCAGATGCTGTAAGGAATTGTGCTAACGTCAAAGTACATAAACCGATAGACAATGGTTGTTCTTAACAATCTTTCAAAAGGGGAGAGCTATGCCGTGTATACAAATACACAATGTGGAAGAAATGTACAAGGTGTCCCAAAAGTATGTAAATGCTGATTGATCGTTGATATCTTCTTTCCCACAGTCTTCTGCCTAACAGAGATCATTCTAAAAAGTTTGTTGCGAGTTAAATTCACAGCATCGAACAAATCACAATGAGACATGTAAGAATGCGCCGTGTGCTAAAAATTTCTACCGTAGTCCTTTTTGGAAATTTGGAGGACAGTGTAGCAGACTTTCACGCCTGCTTATAATGTACGCAGGTTTTGGCATTTGAAGCCTTATAAATAATGTTATTACATTCTAGAGGAGACTCGAAAAACAGCTATTACAGTAGCTATCACCTAGCTTAACTACTGAAAGGAAGCATTAACCATCATGTGGGATTTCCATACTTGAAGTGGGCTACTCTGTTAGCCTGGAAGTAAGGCTTAAGGCTTCTGAATTGTTTGATTTTTTTTCAAGCAAAATGAGGTTCGCATTATTCTGAACAAAGTTATGGGCATTTTCCTGTGCAAAATCTCATGTTATCAACTCAATGGACTCAATGGACCCACCCCTGTCATAGTACCTGCAAAAGAATCTAGACGACAAGCTGGAAGAACTTTAGCACTGAAGATAGAGAAGTGCACAACATTTGTGCCAGATCTTGAGATTGACCAACGTGAATGGCTGCAAGTAGACAAGAAATTGCAGATTATACAATACCGCTCACAGAATGTGCAAAATTTCCGGAATTTCGCGGAATTCCAGGAATTTCGCGAAATTCCCGAAATTTCGCGAACTTTCGCGGAATTCCTGAAATTCTGCGACATTCACGGAAATTCTGCACATTCTGTGAGCGGTATTGTACAGTATTAGTCTGGAGTACTTTCATCCTTAGAGTCTCAGCCTCCATTATTGGCCAGTGCGAGCCATGCGTTTTGCTATTAGTGCTTCTCGTGCAAGCTCCTTTCTTGCGCAACGCGCCACATTCAATCGTCCTGGATTGGTGGCGATTCTCTGCAAAAAATGTCCAAACTTCAAGGAAAAATCAAGAAATAAAATTACTTCTCGCAAGTTTATTCCGCAGCTGAATAAAAATGTATTGTTCGCAAAAATTCTGGACCCACGTTGAGGCGAGCATAATTCCTCGTCTTCCAGTCATCAAAGGTACGTACGGAACGTTTAATATTTTAATGCTGACAAAGCTGTTGCCTATCAAAAATTCGTCTTCACTCATAATCCAAACACGATCTTGAATCAGAAATCAAATCCCCAGATTTAGAAGACCGCCCGCTCCGTGAATTGCATGTTTCTCCCAATGACATCCTCAGAATTCTGAATAGATCAAGACCTTCACTTTCAGCACTTTTGTATACCCCAAATACTAGATGTGCTGATGCGCTCTCCAAACCTCTGAAACACAATTTTTAATTCCGATGTTGTCGACAATGACTGTGCCGTAAATATGTCAGCAATTTTGCAGGAGCTTTTGATATTTGCATCGTGCACTCAAGGTAAAGTTTCTTGTACGAACAATTTCGAGATTAAGCCCACTGAAGAGTACCTGTTGCTTAATATGCACATATAAAAAGGTGAGTGTTGGTAAACTGTTAGCTAGTGTGCTCTTTATAGAAATTTTTGTGTGTGGACCGATCAGCCTCAAACTTAGCACACATATAGTTTCGACGTGAGCCATGAGCCAGTTAAACCCATGGTGCAGGCGAAGCAGGGCATGCCAGGTAATAATAAATATCTCTTTTGCATTCGTAGCTTTTGCTGATTTCCAAGATTCATGTAGAGCTACTCTCCCTCTGCAATCGCAGGGGAGCCGGAATGCCGGCCTTATTCATAACTGTATGATCAAGAAACAAAATCCTTGTAATGCTGTCCTGTCACTGAGAGGAAGAAGTTTTTGGAAACAAAAAACGAAAAAGCGGAAACATAATATCAAATTGGTCCACAGTTGCTGTTTTCCCAAATGTCTATACAAGTTGACTGCAACATTTTGTCCATTTTGCGAAATTTTAGGAATGTATTAGGTTGTCCCATAATTATTTACCGTTTTTAGTGTAACCGTCGCCATTTTGCATCTTTCTTTCAATTGATGTTTCTTGAGTAATCATTTGACAGAGCAAAGCAAGCTCTATA